ACTCTTCTCCCTTGATGGTCCCAGGGACCTCCACTCTGGACTGCAAATTTTGCTACAAAATGTCTACCTTTACATTTCCAACCCTCAACATCACCTAGACTCAACCCAGACACAGAAGTATGCAAAATAAACAGATCTAAAAGGCTGATAATAGAGAACCAGAGATACAGATGAAACAATCACAACAAAAATACCATCGAGTAAAATGAGGGAATAATGTACTTCTAAAATTCCAAATGAAGGGGAAATCAAATAGATTTCAAGAAAAGATAGATTTAAAAAAAAATAAACTTAAGTTTAACACTAAAAATTAGACTAAGCCTTACTCCTAGCCTAAACCTTACCCTTAACACTTGTTAAGTGTGTTTGAGCCGTTTCTAAGGAGTGGCTAGTGGCTTTGAACAGCCAACCTTGTGGTTGAAACCGACACTGCAGTCCAGTGCATTATCCTGAAGAACCACACCAGGACTCCCTTAAACTATAACCCTAACAACAAATGCCTAGGCCTAGCTTAGATCTAGCCAGTCCCAAACCTAACCCTTACTCCTGACTCCTGCCCACCACCCCAAAATAAATAAGTAAATAACCCAAAATGGATGTATGAAGAGACTCTGAAACTTGCTCTTGAATGTACAGAAGATAAAGTGAATGAATGAAATGATGAAGTAAAAGCAAAAAACAGAAAACTTCAAAGGGCAGATCAAGAAGACAAAGTAAAGTATTATAATGAAATGTGCAAAGACCTGGAGTTAGAAAACCAAAGGGAAGAACATGCTCAACATTTCTCAAGCTGAAATAACTAAAGAAAAAACTCAAGCCTTGACTTGAAATATTGAAGGACTTAAATATATTGAGCAAAAAAATATTGAATGATGTAGGAAGCATAAAAAGAAGGTGGAAGGAATACACAATCCTTATACCAAAAGAATTAGTTGACGTTAACCCATATCAGGTGTTGTTGTTGTTGTTGTTATGTGCCATGGAATCGGTTCTGACGCACTGTGACCCTGCACAGGGTTTCCGAGACTGTAAATCTTTACTGGAGCAGAAAGCCTCATCTTTCTCCCACGAAGCAGCTGGCAGTTTTGAACTACTGACCATGAGATTAGCATATGATTAAGAAAACGGATGGCACTGAAAGAAGAAGTCTAAGCTGCATTGAAGGTATTAGCAAAAAATAAGGCTCCAGGCATTGAAGGAATGAATACCAGCTGTAACGTTTGAACGAACTCAAGCAGAAGTGGAAGCATATGCTAGTCTATGTTAAGAAATTAGGCCAACCAACTGGAAGAGATCCTTATTAGAGTCCATTCCACAGAAAGGTGACCATACAGAATGTAGATCATTGAAGAATATTATTAATATCATAATGAAGGTAAAATTTTGCTGAATATAATTTTAAAATGGTTGCAACAATAGATCAACAGGGAACTGCCAGAAATTCAAGCTGGATTTAGAAAAGGACATGGAATGAGGTGTATCATTGTGAATGTCAGATGGATTTTGTAGGACATGGAATGAAGAATTATCATTGCTGATGTCAGAGCAATTTTGGCTGAAGGCATACCAGAAAGCTGTTTTATTGACTATGCAAAGGCATTTGACTGTGTATTGTGGATGATAACAAACTATGGATATCATTGCAAAGAAATGGAATTCCAGAACACTTAATTTTGCTCATACGGAACCTGTACAGAGACCAGGAGGCAATCACTAAAACAGAACAAGGGGATATGAAATGGTTTAAAGTTACGAAAGGTGTGGGTCAAGGTTGTATTTTTTCACCATACTTATTCAAGCTGTATGCTTAATAAACAATCTAAGAAGCTGGATAATAATATTAAGAATGGTACATCAGGGTTGGAGGAAGGCTTATTAACAACCTGAGATACACAGATGACACAACCTTTCTAGTCCTGAGCCATCCACACAATTATTATTACAAGTAGCATCTGGAATCCTAAAAGCTCATGAGTGACCATCTAAGGTTCAACTATTGGTCTCTCCAAGTGAGGAGGAATGACAAGTGATGAGAACTGTGGATGCTTCAAATCAATTAGTCCAATGGACTAATGGGACATGTGAACATCAGTCTTTATGACTCTGAAACCAGAAAAACTAGATCGTTTCCAGCTACTGCTACCAGCTGCTCTGAAAGGAATTGCATTAGAAGGTCTGGGATGGAATGGAAGAAAATGTGAAACAAAACTCAAAATTATAAGGAAAAAAAACAAAAAAGCCAGGCTTACCAGTTAGAAAGATACTGGAGGAACCCTAGACTATGGCCTTCAACCACCCTTCAAGTTTGGAAAGAAATTCACCCTTGTGGCACAACTTTCAGTCAAGCAGTAGATAGGAATATAGGGGATAACATTAGTAAGATATGCTCACCATGGAATGGCCAAGTATTCAAAATCAAAAGGGCAATATTTATCTAAGGACAAAGTTGAGAAGAGATGGGACGGTGGGTGGAATAGAAACAGGAAGCACAAGAAGGCAGTGGGATGACTGTGGCTGCATGGAAGGGATTGCAATCACTGAGATGACACAACATGTATGATTTGTTGAATGTAAAACTGATGACCCTGTCTGCAAGCTTTCACTCAATTCACAATAATATGTTTGTTAAAAAAAAAAACATCACATATGAAGAAAGGTCATTAAAGAGATCACAAAGAAAAAAAGATAAAAATGGATGTCAGAAGAGACTCTGAAACTTGCTCTTGAACATAGAGAGGATAAAGCAACTTGAAGAAATAATAAGTAAAAGAGCTGAAGAGAAAATGTCAAAGGGCAGCTACAGAAGATAACATGATTCTTTGAAAAGACCTATAAAATCAACAAAGGGAAAGAAGATGCACGTAGCATGAATAAGAAATGAAATGGGTGATGTCACAACAGAACTAACTGAAATAAAAATCATAATAATAGAATACTACGAAGAACTGTATTCCAACCAAATTGAACACATAGAAGACGTAAATTTCTACAAACATACTACCTACTTAAACTAATACAGACCGGGGCAGAAAATTTGAACAGACTCATCACAAAATAAGAAATTAAACAAGTCATTAAAAACTCCCAAGAAAAAAATGTTCAGGCCCAGATAGTTTCACTGGTCAGTTCTACCAAAACATTCAGGGAAAAGCTAACACCAACTGTACTCAACTGCGTAGAAATGGATAGAATACTCCGAATTCATTTTATGAAGCAAGCAAAACCCTGAAACCAAAACCAGTCAAAGAAATCACTAAAAAGAAATTAGAGACCAATATTCCTCATGAATATAAACACAATAATTACCAACAAAATCCTAACCAATAGAATCCAGCAACATATCAAAAAATATATATTCATGACTAGGCGGGGCTCATGCCAGGTATGCAACAATTACACAACACTGGAAACACAATCAACAACAACTATCACATAAATAAAACAAAGGAAAAGAACCATATAATCATATAAATAAATGCAGAAAAGGTATGACAAAATCCAACACCCATTGCTGAAAAAAAATCTCAACAAAATAGGACTAAAAGACAAATTCTTCAACATAATTTTAAACAAGCACTGGTGTCATGGTGTGGCGCTGCAGGTTAATGCACTGGACAGCAAGTTCAGCTTGAACCACAAGGTTGGTGGTTCAAACTCACCAGCCGCTCCACAGAAACTCTATACAGGGTTACTATGAATCGGATTGACTTGACAGCACTTAAACAACAACATATAAACACTGGACCACAAGGTCGGTTTGAATTATATGGGTGGTGATTCATATCCACTAGCTGCTCCTCAGAAACCCTACACAGGGTCTGACACAACAACACTCACCAACAACATAGAAGACCAATAAATAACATTACTTTCAATGGAAACAAATTGAAAGCAGTCTCCTTGCAATGGGAACCAAATAAGGAAGCCCTTTTGCCTCTATCACTACTGCTATTCAATATTATGCTGAAAGTCTTTGCTACAAATGCAAGACAAGAAATAGAAGTTAAAGCCATTCAAATTGGCAAAGAAAAAAAAAAGTACAACTTTATTTGCAGTTGATTATTTTATACATAGAAAATCCCAGAGATTCCATTATATTTTTAGAATTAATGGAATGATTCATCTAAGTGGCAAGGTACAAGATCAACATACAAAACTCAGTCAGATTCCTTTGCAACAAAGATAACTCTGAAAGGAAATCAAGAAAACAATATCATTTACAACAGCCACCCAAATCATGAAATGCATAGGAATGAATTTACATGAGAAACAAAATATCTATGGAAAGAAATTTTTAAAATACTACCACAAGAAACAAAAATAGATCTTGTTGTTGTTAAGTGCCATTGAGTTGGTTCTGACCCATAGCAACTTTGTGGTTCAAACTGACTTTGCAGTCCAGCATGTTAACCCACAGCGCCACTGTACATATGCCTTACTTGAGTGATTGCACAGCAGTTTTCAGTTATGGTCCTAGTCCTGATTACTTGGCAAGTCTTAAAGATGACTTTCCATTTTAACCTCCTATCTATACTTAAAGGAGCTCTGGTAGTGCAGTGGATACAAATCAGAATGCTAATCTCACGGTCAGCAGTTTGAAACGACCAGCTGTTCCGCAGGAGAAAGATGAGGCTTTCTGCTCCCGTAAAGATTTACAGCCTTAGAAACCCTGTACAGGGTTGCTATGAGTCAAAACAGATTCCACGGCACATAACAACAACAACAGCCATACTTAGGGAGTCCTGGTTTGGTGCTGGAGGATAAGCATTGGATTGCCAAGAACAATATCAACAGTTTGAACCCACCAGCCAATCCACTGAAACTTTATACAAGGTTGCTATGAATCAGCACAGACTAGACAGCACTTAACAACAACAACCCACTACTTATAAAAATTCACAGCAGACAGCATTCCCAATCCCATTTTATATCACTGAATTGTATACTCCTTACAGAAAAAACTGGAGTCTCTTCCCACCATGGATCAAAATCATACAAACCTCTGTCAGCTGCCTCAGCTGGCCTTTGTATGCACTTGATTCTTCTGATAGTTCATTCTTTTTCACTTGTAGTTCACAGATTTCCTTTCTTAATGGATTCACTAGTTCATAGAACCGAAGCTTTAAAAAAAGAAAAAAAAAAAGCAAATTAGTAAGCAGTCCTGAAATCTATAATTAAAATTTGCCAATGTATTGTACTCTCAATTACTAGTATCTACAAAATGCAAACAAGCCTACTACGACTTAGAGTCCTGGTGTGGCGCTGTACGGTAATGCGTCAGACAGCAAAGTCATTTGAACTGCAAGGTCTATGGTTCAAGCTCACAGGCTGCTCCTTGGAAACCCTACACAGGATCTCTATGGGTCGGAATCGACTCAACAGCACTTAACGACAACTAATACTTTAGTTCTTAGTGTTCGATTAAATTCCCTCCAGAGCAGGTTATCTGTAATTCCCCAACCAGGCCATACTCTACACCTTCCCACTCTTCTAGCAATGCTCTATGCACCACTCCTTATCACCTCCGACTGCTCACTGCACACAAGTTGCTTGTGAGGTATTCAAGGTTTTGCTCTTGCTATTTCCTCTGATAGAAACTTCTTCCCACATAAAGTCAAGGCTCATTTATGCCATCACTTCTTTCAGGTCTCTTATCAAAAGTCACCTAATCACTCCTTGCTTTTCTTTGATGGTAATGAGAACCCCCATTCTGCTTCTGAGATGACTCATTGTATACTCAGCAGGATGGCAAAATGATCAATCACAACTAGCTTTGTTAACAATGCTCACAACTGAATCTATAATCCATTAGCATCTTCTCCTGGCTTCTTTTATCTACACCCATCAGGAAAAAGTTGTTTGGTGGGAGTTTACAAAGACTATGGCTAGAAGACACATTAAATAATTCCAAAACCCCACAGATTTCCAAAAAACAGTCAGGTCACAACAAGTAGGAGTCCTGGTATGGCACTGTAGGATAAGTACTAGACTGCAAGGTTGTTTTGAACTGCAAGGTTAGTGATTCAACCCACCACCTGCTCCTTGGAAACCTTATACAGGTTTGCTAGGAGTCAGAACTGACTCTGTGGCACTTTTTAACAACAACAACACCTTCTTAAAAGCTGACCTCTCCCCCTTGAATTGAACTGGTCTAGTAGATGTCCTTCGAGTACTTTTGTGGTGCTATTGGATATGAACCGCTAACCCCAAAGTTGGTGGCTCAAACCCACCAGCTGCTCCATGGAAGCCCTATACAAGGTGGTTGTAAGTCAGAACTGACACAACAGCACGTAACAACAATAACCACAACAAAGTCTTTAGAAGCCATTGTTTTGATTGGACTCTTTCTTATGAAAGCGCCCTACTGTATTACAGAAAGATTCAGTTGTCTGCAGCCATCTTATGCTAGCAGAAATGTGTAAACACAATTAGTTTGGAATAAGCCTTTGCATATACGTACTGGTACCCCAATAGCAGCACTTTTTGACTTTCTCTCATATATTCAACACAACTGACATTCAAGTATAAAGGGCAAAATAAGCTTTTTGAACTCAGGGAATGTTGTCCTCATGAGCTCTTCCTTAGCAGTAAACTAAGACAGTCCAGGCAGCACACAACCAAAATGAACAGGCAGAAACTGGCAGTTTACTTAGACAACTAAGACTAAACAAGGCTTACAAGAGACAGAGTATAATATGCACTAGCTATAAGCTCAAACAAGATTCAAGGGGTCTTCTATCTTTCAGTTCCCTTTTTCCAGAAACTTTCTGAATTCCCCTCATTATAGTACAACTATTTAAAATTTCAGAGGAAAGATAACAAGTAAATTCCATCATCTTCTGTGTCTTTGAGAACCAGAATTCTTGAAGTAGAAAAAAGATTTAGATGTAATACATAATAAGTAAAAAATGTTGCAGAATTTAACTTGAATTGAAGGTATATATATGAACTCATGAGATATTTTAGTTTTCAAAACTACATATGAACACATGTATATTTCTAATTTTGTTCACCGACAATGGCTAGTCCAGTCACAATTCTGAGTTCCCAGATTAGGGTCTTGATTCCCACCAAATAAGAAATGGCTGATTTCAGGTTTGCAAGAGAAAATGTGTTACAGCCAGCTAGACAGAAAGTTACCAAGGACTCAGTCATGTCAAAAGGACTCCACCTGAAGAGACTGTCATTAGATAAAGATTAAAATTTAATCTTCAACTAGTATAACTGCAACTTAAACCCATCAATCTTCAAATTCATGAGTTCATAAGGGTATGAATCATAATACAGATATTCACACAGATGAGTATATACATTTATTTGCCTGTATGCATATTTATATAATGCAAATATATGCAACTATATTAATTAATAGACATTAAAAGAAAATCAAGCAGCCATCTTTGGAGTTTGGTAGCAAAAAAATTCAAGTTAATAGAAAGAATTAAGCATTTATCATGCCTTTCTAACAAACTATACAACTTGATCAAAAAAAAAAGGTATGAGGGAAGCATCACTTCATTTACTAATTCCAACCAGAGAAATTAAAGAATTAAAATATAACTGTTCAGAAAACTCCAATATATTTAACATTAGGCATCAATTACTGTTAACAGCACAACAAAAAGAGATGTTGATGATAATCACTGTGTAACACCCAGTCAGTTCTGACTCAGCACAACCCTGTATAGGGTTTCTGAGGCTGTAAATCTTTACTGGCGTAAAAGCCTCATTTTTTCCCATGGATAGACCGGTAGATTCGAACTACTGACCTTATGGTTAGCAGCCCAGCTCGTAATCTACTAAACTACCAGGGCTCCTTGAAAAAGAGATACCCAATTATTATTTGCCTCCTGCTACAAGAATTCAACATCACTGTTTTTGCCAAAGGCACCAAATATTACTATGTCCAAGTTTTGGATCCAGTGGGCAATTTGAAAGAAACACAGAAAACAAATGAACATGCTGAACTAGAGCATGAGTATGTATAAAATCCAGAATATGAGAAACTCTGAACTATGGCATCTTCAACAGATAAAATGAAAGGAAAATAAGAAATGGAGAGAAATGTGACATAGCACATTTTAAAGAAGTAAACAAAACTAGAGTATCAGTCTACATTCCTGAGTGACAAAACTATTATTGTTGTGTTAAGTGCCACCAAGTTGAGCCAGTTCCTACTCATAGCGACCCAGTAGTTGGTGAGTTCGAACCACCAGCCTTGCAGTTCAAACTGAGGTCAAGTGCTTATCCTACAGTGCCACACCAGGACTCCCACTAAACTATATGGACATGCAAAAAAATTATCATTACAAAGGTCAACATTAAGTTTATTTTTGAGGAAGAAAGAAGGCTGAGATTAGAATAGAAAATATGCAGGGGATCAAGGGTTGTTGTTGTTGTTAAGTGCCACTGAGTCTCGGTTCCGACCCATAGCGACCCTGTACAGGGTTTCTGAGGGTGTAAATCTTTACAGGAGTAGAAAGCCTCATCTTTCTCCCGCGGAGCAGCTGGTAGTTTCAAACCGCTGAGATTAGAATAGAAAATATGCAGGGGATCAAGGGAGATTAGAAAAATATTTTTTTGAGCTGAGTAGTAGTTTTAAGTTGTGGGTTAATGCACCAGACTGCAAAGTCAGTTGAACAGTTCAAGCGCACCAGCTGCTCCTCGGAAACCCTATACACGGTCACTATGGGTTGGAATGTGACTCCACGGCGTTTAACAACAACATAAATTTTAAGGGTGTTCACTCTATTCTATCTCATTAAGCTATATGTTAATTTTGTGGGGGTCGCTACTATTTTATAATGAAAAGACTAAAAATTTAAATTGATTATAAATGTAAAAAATATGTATGGTAATCCACTTCTAAATTAAAGATTTACATGTACTGATAAACAAGGCTAAGTCAAAAAATATTACTACTACAGCAACAGTTCATACATGCATGGGCTTATTCCAAATAAAATGTGTTTAAACATGTGTCTGTCATCAGTGAATGGCTTCAGACAAGTTCTCTCAATAATACTCTTGTCTTAGTCTCATTAGGGAGCCTTCATAAATATGTTTCAGTCAAAACAGTAGCTTACAAGGGCACCTGCTGAACCAGTTAAATTCAAGGTAAAAATGGTCAGCTCAGAAGGTTATGGTGACTCTTTTGGGGGCTTACAATGAAGTAATCTTTATAGATTTTCTCAAAGGACACAGGAAGATCATGAAAGCTTATTGGGAAGAAGTTTTTTAAAAAACTAAAAACTGCATTAGTAAGAAAAGGTAAAGAAATGTTTTCCCAACACAACAATGCACCTGCTCAATTCTTTGAGAGTAGTAGCAAGGGTTGTCTGTTCTACAACAGTTTCACTGGGAAATCTTATTCCATTCACACTACATCCCTTGTTCCCCAAATTCAAAGAACACAGAAAAGGAACATAATTTGAATCCCTGAAGGATGTACAAATTGCCATTTTGATATGGTACAAATCCAAGACTGCAGAAGTCTTTGGAGATGGGTTAGAGAAATAGGAATGCCAACTTCAGAACCAGATAGAAAGTATGCCAAGAAACAAAATAGCTTCACATTTGATATTTCTGTTTAATAGTGGTTTTTGTGATTTGATAGCCATAATTTTTGACTTACAACTTTATATGTTTGTAATGAAACTGATTATTTCTGGGCTAAATGAAAAACTTTTATTTTTCACTTCATACATTTTGGTGTATGTTATATTTTTTGTAAGTACAATATTTACTGCTTAAAAACCAGTAACATTTAGTCTCTGACATAGAACTCAGAGATGTAATTCTTGGGTTAAGGTAGTGTAGTTGTTTTGAGTTGGCTGCTGATCTCCAAAGTCCTCTGTTCAAATCTACCAGTGGTTTCATAAGAGAAAGATGAGGCTTTCTGATCCTGTAAAGATTTACAGCCTCAGAAAACCTATACAGGGTCATTGTAAGTCAGAACCGACTCCACAGCACTTAACTGCCAACCACCATGGAACAATCTCAGTTTAACCTTGAATAAAGAATTATGTAGTAGAAAAACATTCAAATAAATCCTAAAGCTAAGATGTTTAGAATCAGGCTTCTTGGGGTCATCTGGAAACTACTGTATTTCCTGATTTATCCAGGTCTCTGCAAAGATCTGGAGTCAGAAGAACAAAAAGGAAGAACATGCTCAGCATTTCATACGCTGGGGGAATTGAAGAAAAAAGTCAAGACTTGACTTTTGTTATTGACGGATTCCCTGGGCAAATTATTGAATGATGCACAAAGCATCAAGAGAAGATGGAAGGAATACACAAGTCACTGTACCAAAAGAAAATTGTTGATGTTCAACCGTTTCAAGAGGTAGCATA